TTCCCTCACCCTCTAAAATAGTTTTATATATTGGTTTGTCCTATGTATTTTTAAATTTATCTTTAGTGTAATTGGACTGTATAAATACAGAACAATTAATATGATCCATTGAATTTCATGCCAAACTACTTGAAAGACACACATCTGATCTATTTCATTTTAGCCATTTTAATCTATTCTCTAATCTCTAAATATGTCTTTGTTCACACTATTTTCTTTTCCTAGAATGTCCCTTCTCTATTAGAATATTTGCTTATTTTTAAGGCCCAATAAAATCCATTTAAAAAATGTTTTATCTTTTTCTTGTTGATTTGTTGGGAGCCTACTTTGTAAACCTTTTTTATATTTAGTGCTTTTTTTTTTTTGTCCAGACTAAATTTATAGCCAACAAAACCTCTTCACCATGGATATTTCAAACTCAGTATGTCTATAACTTAATTTGTCTCACTTCAAATCCATTCTTATTTTAATAATGTAAAAATAGAAGTTACAATTTATTAAGTATCTCACATGTTCTTAACACATGACATAGTCTTAAGTGCTTTCTATATACTCTATTCTTAACACAATCTGCAAGGTTAACAGTTCCCTTTCAGATGAGGAAACTAAGGCCCAAAAACAGTCACCAAATATTATACATTCAGTGTCAGGGCAAGGGCTTGAACAGAGATCTTTAAGGCTTTACAACCAGTTCTTTTCCTCCTCTATTTCTACTCTGTTCCCTTCCCTGAACAGCACTGTATATTTTTATACCAATTCTTTAAGCTAGAGTCATTAGAGACAACGTTTTTTGTTGTTGTTCCTGAGATATTTTAGAATACTTCTAACTTTAGAATAGTTTTAGATACACAGATAGATCCATTTTTGAATATTGTTTCTCCTCACCCCAAAATTCTATCATATATCTTATCTAATAAAAGATTAATATGCAAACTGACCATACCTCTGCTACACCCACCAGCCATGCCCACCAGCCAATCAGAGTGAGTGTGCAAATTAACCCCAACCAAGATGGCTGTGGTCACAGAGGGCAGGAGGGAGGCTTGGTTTTCTCTGGCAACAGAAGAAGCCAAGCTTTCTGCCTGCCCTTACCCGCCTAAGCCTCCACTCAAGGCTACAAAGTTTCAATTATAGAAGGTAAACAAATCCAAACAGAAATGGCAGCAGCCACAGAGCAAGCAGAATGCTTGCCTCCGTTCCAGACTACAAAGTTTCAATTGCAAAAGGTAAATAAATTCCAGATACCAGGGCTTCCGCTTGGGTCACGGCGGGGGTGGGGGGTGGGGGGCGGGGGGGGGGGGTGACCAGCCTGCAAACCACCATATGCCTCTCGCCCAGGCCATTTCACACCCCAAGGGAACCCCTACCCTGATCTGAGACACCCTTCAGGGCAAACCAGCTCTCCCCCATGCACCAGGCCTCTATCCTATCTAATAAAAGAGTAATATGCAGATTGGCCATGACTCCAACACATAAAATCAAGATAGCTGCCCCCATGTGGTCAAAGATCCTGCCCCCATGTGGTCAAAGATCCTGCCCCCATGTGGATACAAGATGACCACCACAAGATGGCTAGTAGGGGAGAGCAGTTGGGAGGCACCAGGCCTGCAAGGGAAGGCAGTTGGGGATGATCAACCCTGCAGGGGAGGGCAGTTAGGGGTGACCAGGCCGGCAGAGGAGGGAAGTTGGGGGCAAACAGGCTGGCAGGGGAGCAGTTAGACATCAATCAGGCTGGCATGGGAGTGGTTAGGGGCAATCAGGAAGTCAGGCAGGTGACCAGTTGGGAGCCAGCAGTCCTGGATTGTGAGAGGGATGTCCGACTGCCCGTTTAGGCCCGATCCCAGTAGGTGGGATTGGGTCTAAACGGGCAGTCGGACATCCCTCAAGGGGTCCCAGATTGGAGAGGGTGCAGGCTGGGCTGAGAGACACCATCCTCTCCTTCCCACCCCCCACCCTGCACAAATTTCGTGCACCGGGCCTCGTGTGTGTGTGTGTGTGTGTGTGTGTGTGTGTGTGTGTGCCTAAGTGACCATTACAATGGAATGACTGGTCAACCAGTTGCTATGACACGCACTGACCATAGGGAGGCCTATGTGGGGGGGAAGGAGGGCCGTGTAGATGCTCAATGCAGGAGCTTCCCCCTGATGGTCAGTATACTCCCCCAGCCAAACTCCTGCTGTTCCTTCCCCTGGCTTTCAGCCCCCCATCAATAGGCCCCAATGGAGGGGGGGCAGCCAGCCAACCTCCTGGGGTCCCTCCCCCTGTCGGCCGCTTCCTCTCCCCCAATAGGCCTCGATCTCCGGTCAGGTCGAGGGACACCACCTGTGCACGAATTCATGTACAGTTAGCTAATAAGTCACCAAGAGTGTAAGTTTTGCCTCTGAAATCTCTTAAGTCTTAGTATTTCTGAAAATGTCCTTATTATCAGCCATAATACTGCAGAAGCCTCCTTCCACTATCCAGTCAATCCCTGCTGCCAGCATTTGCTTTCTAAAGCACAAATCCAGTAACTTTAGAACAGTGTAATCTTCTGATAGCTCTTTGTTGCCTCAAAGATTCAGTCCAAACACTTAGGACATGTAACACGCCCTGCCCTTCCCTACTCTCTGATCTGCTTGCTGCCTCCCCCCTGGTTCACTTCCATGCCAGGCTCAGGGAGCTGTTTATATTAACCAGGATTTATCTTCTTGCCTTTCTTCTCTTATTCAACTCATCCTTCAAAACTCAGAAGTTTTGTTGGGTTCTCTATACTGGAATTTGTTGTTTCCTTTTTAAAAGTAACTCTTAAAAACCGAGTTCTGCACCCTTGTGGGTTGTTTTTGTTGTTATGTTTTGTTTTCTTGCACATCTTTAATTTTAAAAAAACTTTTTATTTTCATCAAAATCCAATAACAGCCTTAGCCGATTTTGGCTCAGTGGATAGAGCATCGGCCTGTGGACTGAAGGATCCCAGGTTCGATTCCGGTCAAGGGCACATGCCCGGGTTGCAGGCTCGATCCCAGTTGGGGCTTGCAGGAGGCAGCCGGTCAATGATTCTATCTTATCATTGATGTTTCTATCTCTCCCTCTCTCTTCCTCTCTGAAATCAATTTTTTAAAAATTCAGTAATACTGAGATTTTACATTAGTGCAATGCAACAATGTCTTGCCCCATTGCTGAGTCCCATTGCCCAGGGCAGCCACTTTCAGTATCTGTTTCTTAATTAAAAAAATACTTATATTTCTGCCCTAGCTGGTGTTTCTCACTGATCAGAGTGTCATCCTGTGCACACCAATCGCTGGATCTCTCATGCAGAGGCAGCCAGTCAACGTCTCTCCCCTTCTCTCTCCCTCTCTCCCCTTCCTCCCTTCCTTCTACTTTCTCTAAAAAATCAACAGAAAAACTATCCTTGGGTGAGGATTAACAAAACACATGCACATATATTTCTGTTTCTTCATTTTCAGTTGCAGACATCCTTTGACTTCTTGCTGAGGTAGATAAGTGTTTTCTTTATTTCTCCAACCAGTTAGTTTCTAAAAAGAAATAGCTGCTTGATAAGGAAATACATTTATTCAGTGAAAAAGCAAGTACAGAAATACCTTTAAGGTATTTTCAGGCTGCTACCACTTTTTTATCATCCCATTATAGCGAATGTCCCCCCCATATTCCTTATGCAAAATACGGTAGTTGTTTTCATACCTGAGTCCTCAGCTATTCAATATGCTCTTTAAAGCCTCAGACTATGTCTCTGCTGCCACATCCAAACCCTAGCTGGTGCCGACCCCATAAGGAAAACTGGCATTTTTTAAGGTATTTCTGTATTTTCTTTTTGACTGAATAAATGAATGTATTTCCTTAGCAAGCAGCTATTTAGCATGCGCTTGGTTGCACTGGACAGGACATTTTAAGCGGCTTAGATTCTAAGCCGCTACAAGCCTTGTTCCATGGTCTCAACCTCATGGAACAATAGGATAAAAGGACTCTGGTGGAACCAAAACATATTGTTATTAATAAGGCTTCCTCTTTAATTTGGTGGCCCAGACTAACCAAATTGTGCCAACATCAGTGGAATGGCGTGGGAGGAAGCATAGGAAAAGGCTCAATAGCTAAGATGTCAGAATAGCTTTTTACATTTGGTCTCATTATTAGACTGATCCTCAGGAGCACTAACAATGCTGGGAGCCTCCCAGGGCTGAGCTAAGCTCTTGCTCTCTGTGGAAGAGCCCACAGCTTGGGGTGCTGGGCCCTGGCTGTCTCGTCAGTCAGCCATACTTCCTGTCTGCAGGCCCTTTACAAAGTGAAAATCCACAAGCAATTGCTTAGTATTCATCAGCATCCTCTGTCAAATTAAACATAACACTCTCTACTGAGCAAATACTTTTCAACCGTTAATTTCTTGATTATAGACAATGCAATGAGGTACAAAGTGAACTATATGTTTTGTTTTATGGACTTAGAATATATATTCTAATTCTGTTTCTATAGGCAATGGCAGCAGATAAAAGTGATGAATGGTTTGCTAAGCAAATTAAACCTCAATAGAAGACATCACGTGGAACAAGCATTTACGATTCCTGTCCATCACCTGCGAGGTTTGATGTGTCCTTTCATGATAAATGCTCTCACAACTTGGTTGTTTCCTGTAGAGGCAAGGAAGCTGGGGTTGTGAAGATTTGTATATTTTAATCTTTGAAAGCTCTGATATGTTTTAGGTATAAATCCTTTTATTGTCAATCCAGTTAGAGGAGAACTCTGGCTGTAATCTTCACTGTCACTCAAATGGCCCAATGTGTATAGCCATATTAAATTAGTAATAAATTATTTTGCAGGCTGGGCAGCTATATGGGACATTACCCTTGGTTGGGATGGAAGAAATTTTAATAAGTATGTGGATTTTATGAAAAAACTTATTTGTAAAATAAATTTTGTTTCTTGAACCAAAATATTTAGTTAACATCCCCCCATTCCTTGCTTTAAAATTTTGAGTAGCCAGAGAAAACAGACAGAAGGATTTAATGTGTTCTGTAGCTAGCTACACACCTGGCTCTGTGCTAGTTTCCTTATATAATTTTAAAAAATCTTCACAAAAAGAGAACACATTAAATTTCTTTTAAGTAGATTAGACGATTTCTTTAGCCTGAAAAAAAATATGTTTTTTTAATGATTTCTTGAAATTTTCTCTTTGGTTCTGTAGAACAAATACATTTTAGTTACTGGAAACATATTGGGCACATTTATTATTAAATGTTTTTTGATGATATACTTCTAAAATCAAACTATTATATCAACCTATAAGATTCATTATTTAAAGTGGTGAACAGCCCTAGCCGGTTTGGCTTAGTGGATAGAGTGTTGGCCTGCACACTGCAGAGTCCCAGGTTTGATTCCAGTCAAGACAAATGTCAGGTTACAGGCTGGATCCCCAGTGAGGGCCATGTAGGAGGCAGCTGATTAGTGATTCTCTCTCATCATTGATGTTTCTCTCTCTCTCCCTCTTCCTTCCTCTCTGAAATCGTAAAGTGGTGGGCATGCCCAGCTGGAGTGACTCAGTGATTAAGCATCAACCATGAACCAGGAGGCCAAAGTTCAATTCCCAGTCAGGGCACATGCCCAGGTTGTTGGCTCGATCCCCAGTAGGGGATGTGCAGGAGGCAGCTGATCAATTACCAGTATTCTAATTATTGATGTTCTGATTCTCTCTCCCTCTCCCTTCCTCTCTGAAATCAATAAAAAATATATTCAAATAAATAAAGTGGTGGGCATGTTCAAATTTCTGGGGAGAATTGATAATATTGGAAAGGATTGACTCAGAGGATACCAGTTCCAGAATTATAGTCCGCACTAGAAGTGCGCTAGAAGCCCAGTGCACAAATTCGTGCACAGGTGATGTCCCTTGGGGTGGGCTGCAGAGATCGGGCCCCAGCTCATATCCCCAGCCTTGTAGCTCCACAGCCCCACCTGGCACTCCACCTTGGACTAGCGCTGCCCTCTCACTGGCCCCACCATCCCACCTCCGAGGCAATCAGTCAGGGCCGCGCGTGCTTCCCCCCTACCCCCCCCAGCTCCCTCAGCACCTGGAAGTGGGCAGCAGCTCCACCTCCTGCCGCCACTGGTCACTATCAGTGGGGCTCTTGGGCCCCTGCTCATACCCGCCTTGGCCTGGCACTGTCTGTTCACCTGCACCATCCTGCCACAGTACCACTCTCATCAGGGCCCATCAGGGCTAGCAGTGCCTTCACTGCTTTCCACTGCCAGCGCTGCATCACCAATGCCTGCCATGTTCTGCGCTGCCCCCTGGTGGTCAGTGCACATCATAGTGAGCAGTCAAATTCCCTGTCTCCCAGTCGAACAACCACCTGAGGAAAATTTGCATATTAGGCTTGTACTATATAGGATGAGTTGTAAATCATAGCCTCTGCTGTTCTCCCTTGCTGGCAGGGTTAGGTATAGAGACTCAGGGTATATTTCAGTTCACCTTCTTATAGAGTGATCTTACCTTCACCAAGAGGAAAAAATCCTTTTCTGGCTTCACAGAACTTTTCACTCAACTTAAACTCTGCCTTAGGGAAACAATCATGAGTTTCAAAGCAAGCCAAGTTAGATATGTTCCTCCTTTAGACAATTGGTTCACTTTTTTTGCTTATACATGGGGAAATTATTGTATGAATTTTGAATAATCAAATAAACCTCTTTTTTAGACCATGATTTGTTAATTCTCAGATTTTTTAATTAGATTATTAAGTAATTTTTTTTTAGTAAATCATGATATGTATGTCTAGTAATATTGTTCTTGTGAAACTATATTTTTCCCAGTGTATTAGGCTACTTCTAAGTTTCCTATAGTAAAATAAATGGTTTATATAAGTACTGAATGACCAACCAATACTAGATCGCTCTTTTATGATATCAGGGCTGACATCATAAAGCTAACATATCCCAAGTAGATAAACAACATTAACTTATATCATACATAGTTGTTCACTTAAAAGGAAAAACTTTTGAAATCAATAATATATATATATATATTATTGATTTCAGAGAGGAAGGGAGAAGGAGAAAGAGATAGAAACATCAGTGACTAGAATCATCACACAGGGGATTGAGCCCACAACCCGGGCATATGACCTGCCGGGAATTGAACCGTGACCTCCTGGTTCACAGGACAATGCTGAACTACTAAGCCACACCGGCTGGGCATGGGTTTACTTCATTCTTAAGTAATATACTTAGTCTATAGCAACTTCCAGCAAATGTGTGAACAGAAGATTTCAAAAGATACCTGGTGAGGTTTGGTTTCCTCTGGTTGCTTCTGTTGTTTAATAGCCCTTCATAACCTGGAGCTAACCTAATGTCATGAAGTATGAAAATAGTGTGTTTTTATGACCCTACTTTCTAAGAGCCGAACGTAGCTCCAGAGGGCCGAGCCTCGCCCTTTAGCTAGTCCCAAAGGGATGACCCTAGTTCCTAAGAGCCAAGCCTGGCCCCAAAGAGTCCAGCCTAGTCCTGCAGAGCTGAGTGTAGCCCCCAAAAGCTGAGCTAACCCCAAAGAGCCAAGTCTAGCCAGAAGGAGCCTGACCTAGTTCCAAATGGCCCAGCCTCATTCCGAAGGGTGGAGCCCAGTCCAGTAGACCACAGGCTAGCCCCTAAGAGCCTAGCTTAGCCCCAAGGAATGGAGCCGAGGCCTGAAGAGCTAAAGCTAGTCCCCAATGGATAACCCTGGCCCCCCAAAACATTTTTTAATTAAGGAAAAACGTTGGAAAATTCCATACCACAACAGACCTTTTGCTTCAAAATGTCTCTAATATCTTTTAGCCTTCATGTCCCAGTGCATTGTACATTGATGCCGCCATGAAATCAATACTAAGGAGTGGAGGCCGAGCTCATGCACTCTGGCTGTTGCATGGGTCAGGGGATTTGTTTTATCCCATATACAGACATGTACCTATTGCCCCACAAACATCCCCACGCAGAAACCAGGATTAGCTAGGCAGTAGTCCCACGGAAACCTCGGTCGCTAGGCCTCCGATGAGTGTTTCAGAGCTGGGATTTTGAAACCATCTGCTCCAGTGTTTCTCAACTGCCGTGTTGTGATGCAAGTTACTTTCTAAAAGTCCATCTTCCCTCAAAACATTAACTTCGTCAGGCCTATGTTCCAGGAGGGGCTTTTGGTAGTAGGGCTTGACCCGCTTTGTGGAAGATACCACCACCATGATGTTGGGCTAATAGTGAATGGACAGCCCCTGACTAAGTTATCTCCAGGTCATGAAGGGCTATTAAACAACAGAAGCAACCACCATAAAGACTTCAGATAAGGCGCCTCGCCTCCCTCCCCCCCACCCCTCCCCCAAGCAGAGCCTCTCTCACTGACTTCAAATCTTGGGCATTTTCTGCCTGACTGGTTTGGCTCAGTGACTAGAGCGTTAGCCTGCGGACCTGCGGACTGAGGGGTCCCGAGTTCGATTCCGGTCAAGGGCAAGTACCTTGGTTGTGGGCACATCCCCCACTTAATTGATGTTTCTCTTTCATCGATGTTTTTAATTCTCTATACCTCTCCCTTCCTCTCTGTAAAAAATTAATCTTGGGCATTTTCATAGCCTGATTTCCTCCCACCCCTCTACTGCTGTCACATATCTACATATGCTCTGAGCATAGGAAGGCTGGGAAAACGTAGAATCATACCCAAAGCCAGATTTGATGGAACTTTCTCTAGAGGAGAGATGCTCTTAATACATCTCATTCAGCTCCCCAGTACTCTCATGTCACTGAGTTTATTTGCTTTTCCAACAGCAGTCGTGCACTTTCTTGCAGTTCAAGAGATTTATTGATGTCTCAGCTACGGTAGCTATGGTTGCAGGACATTTTAGCCATCAAGATCTTTTAAGAAGCCATTTCCCTCCCAGAGGAGCCCTGCTATTTCATTGTTTGACTCTGTGCTCCTTAACCCGTTTCCTTTTTCTTCAGTTCTTCGATTTTAGCAACGTAGATCCTCATGGCGTCCATCTTGGACGTCCCCCTTTTCTCATTCCACGCCTCCCACTTGGCTTTGGCTTTCACATCCGTGTCAGGCGGGGCGGGGATGTTGCAGTCGCCCTGGGTGGCCTGTTTGTAGAAGCTGTACACCACCAGTTTCTCCTGCTCGCTCACAGGCCCCTTCAGCTGCTTCACAGCGGCGCAGGCCAGCTCAAACTCCACTTGGCACATTGGGGGAACTGAGGTGCGGCCCCTCTGGCTTTTTTAAGTGATACCTGGTCCTAGAAGCTGGAGCGTGAAGAGCTAGAAACACTTGAGGCTGGTGATTAGGTCTGGGAAGAAGAGAAAGAGAGAAAAGGAGACAGGGTAATATATATGGAAAGAACACAGGATATTTGTGTGTTCTCAATGAAAAACAAATGAGCCCACTGGATTGGATTTCACACACACACACACACACACACACACCCCAATTGTTCTGGTCCCGCACAGTGCATTTTCTGGGGAGAAGGACGACCATTCACATTTCATAGGCGTCCTGATGCCAGAAAAGTAAGGAGCTGCTGCTGTGTTCTGGAGAAGCAGCGCTGGGGACTATTGTGAGGCTGTGGCGCTAGGTGGTGGGAGTGTGAGACGGGGGATGTGCTGCGGAGGAAGCAGCCTGTGCTTAGAGAGGGGTGCCTCTGTGCTGGCTAGTGGGCAGCACTTGGGACGAGCAGTGTGTGTGAGCTGTGCGGGCCATTCCAGGGGTGATGGGCGGAGCTAATGGGTGGGACTCACTGGGATCAGGAAGCAGGGCTGGGCCTGAAAGGAGAGGAGAAACGGGGAGCCGGACCTCCAGGGTGGGACCATGCAGAGAGAGGGGCGGGGCGCGCAGCGGCCGGAAGGCGGGGCGGGCGGGTGCCAACCTGTTGGAGGGCCGACAGAGGGCGCTGTGCGCCTGGCGCCCGGACGCCGCGGGCTGAAGGGGGAGGAGCGCGCGTGCGCAGGAGGAGCGGAGGGCGGCGGGGCGGTCCGCGCGGGGCCGGAGCGGAGACTGTGGTGGGCGGGGCCTGAGGCGCCGCCCTGGCCCTGGCCCCGCCCCCCGCGCCGCCCATTGTGTCGTGGTGCCTGCGCAGTCCTCGCCGCACTGCGCCCGCGTCGCCGCCATGGACTTAGGTGGGTGTCCCGGCTCCCCTTCCCGAGCCCGCCTGGGCCACTCCCGTCACGGCGGCCTGGGCGGTGCCGAGCGGCCCGGGCTGAGGGAGCCCCGGCGTGGGGAGGGGGGTGGGGAGGAGGCGTTTCCTTGGAGACGGGGGTCGGGGAGACCGGCTCTAGCCCCGGCCGCGGCGCGCTTTGGCCCTTCGGCCCCTTTCCACGTGCCGCGCACACGGCGGGGAGGGTTTCCTGAGAGTGAAGGGGTTCGAGCCGGTGGTTTGGAAAATGCCCGGGGGAGTCCCGATGCCCGGCGGCCTCATTAGTTGAAGGTCTGAGTTCTTTAGCCAGTGACTTAACGCTCATGAGGTCCCCATAGAGAAGGCGGAGATGATAATGTTTCCACCTCAGAGTTTGGGGGAGTTTTCGCTGAGGTCACGTGGACACAGGGCCCGGCACGGAGCTCGCGTCCATCAGACTCGCAGCGGTTACGGGGAGGGTTGTGGCTGCAGCGTGGCACGTGCACCTGGATTCAGAATCCCGAGGCAGAGTTTGGGAGAAGAGGAGAGGGAGCTGGTGTAAACCAGCGGCTCCTGGCCCAGCCTTTTACCCTTCTGGACATGCTCCTAAGCCAGGTAAGGTGACCAGACGTCCCAATTTTGGTGGGACAGTCCCGATTTTGAACAATTTGTCCCCCGTCCCGCGGCGGTTTAAAAAAAAAAAAAAATCCCGATTTTTGGAAAGAATCTTTTAAATCTTTTGGACTTCTTTTTAAAACGCCGCGGGACGCGGGACATTGTTAAAAATCGGGATGTCTGGTCACCTTATCCTAAGGGGATAACACTAGGAGATTGCTCTGGGGGAGCAGGGGGAGGCACCCCAAGGTGTGCCAGTAGTACTAGGCCGGTGGAGAAAAGTTCTGGTCCTTGGCCCGATACAGCTCTCATGTTTGTATCACACTAACCATGTGCTCCAAACAGCGCTCCGGTTCTGCATGGCAGATGGTGGTGGGAGGCCGGGTATCACTGGCACATCCTGACCAGCTCTCCCAGGGCCTTACAGCTGTGGTGACTTCTGCCCAACAGCTTTGCGGTTGCAACATCCCGAGCAAATTGCTTCTGCGTCTCAATGTTCCCATCTCTAAAACGGGAATAACATAGTCCTCGAAAGGTTGACATGAAGACTCACAGAGACTTTACATGAGTACCACCTGGCACAAGTAGCACTCAACAAATACAAAGGAGTGGGCATTCAGAAGCACTGTTAACCGGCGGTGATAAAACCCTGGGGAATTACCCAGCTTTTAACTGCTCCTGGGACTTACACTTGAGTGTCTCTGGAAAATAGCTGTTAGAAGGCCAGGCCTCTCAACTGATCTGATAGCGCAATAAAATTCATTTTACAGAGTCATAGGGAACGTATTTTGGTGCCTTTGGACAGTAGCCTGAGCTAGAAAGAAGGTCCAGAACCCTCTCAGCAACCCTACCCTCGGTGGGAGTCAGCCTCGGCCGCCTGAGCCACGGTGGATTGCCCTCACAGTGGTCTGCATAGGAGTGCTGGTTGATCGTTTGGCCTTTTTGCTGCTCCCATAAGTGATCCAAGGAGCAGGATACTTTCTTAATCTGCTGGAATCAGGAGTCTGAGAAGATGGGTTCTTGGGGAGATGAAGGACTGAGAAAGGGGTGGTATTGCTGGGTCCTGGGGGAAGGGAGAGTCAGGAATATTGATTAGTGAGCAGTATTTGGAATCTGTCCAAAGGAGACACCTGAGAAAGATCTGTCTCTTTATGTTTCTGAGTTCAGGGACGCCAAGAGTACTGACAAGATTCTGTTCTTGTCAACAGTGGAAAGGTTTGAGGGGGGAAAAAACACATTTATTTAGCACTTCATCAGGCTCCTTGAATCCTGATTTCTTATTGTAGCTACTAGAGGCCCAATGTATGAAATTTGTGCACTGGGGTCCCCTCAGCCTGACTTGTGCCCTCTGAAGTCCGGAATCCCTCGAGGGATGTCTGGGTCTAAGCTAGCAGTCAGACATCCATAGAGGCAGGAGAGACTCCTGCCACTGCCACTGCCACTGCGCTCGCTAGCCATGAGCCTGGCTCAGGGATTCTGGCTGAGCCGTGCTCCCCCTGTGGGAGTGCACTGATCATCAAGGGCAACTCCTGCGTTGAGCGTCTGCCCCCTGGTGGTCAGTGCATGTCATAGCGACCTGTTGTTCCACTGTTTGGTCAATTTGCATACCTGTGTTTCTCCGAAAATAAGACCTAGCACATGGAAAGATAGGACATCTCCTGAAAATAAGACCTAGCGCAACTTTGGGAGAACAAAATTAAGACACTGTCTTATTTTCGGGGAAACGGTATTAGCCTTTTATTATATAGGATATCTTGTTTAACTCCTATTGCTGCGAGGTGGGATCCGGAGCGAACAGTAAGCACCAACCCAATGCCAAGAGCTTGACTAGTACATATCATTGGATCTTCCTGATCATTATATGAAGTTTGTATTATCCCCACATGTACAGAAGGCAGGCTCAGAGAAATCATCTGTCCAAGATGACTGCTTTTAAATGGCTGAGCCAAACTCACCTCTGATTAAACTGACCAAGATGCCTTCCTTGATAAGTGTGTCAGTTCCCTGAAAATTCCATGGGTCACTGAAGGAAGAACTTAATGTAGTGCATTATTTTACATCTACTCCTTGGCTTCTACCAGAGAACCAGGACCACGAGTAGCCGTTCTTGTTGGAAGAAGCCATGGGATGAATGGTTTCCCTGAAAGGCAGAACGGGGGGAATCTGTTTGTAGGACAAGGCTGTGAGAGAAAGGGGGGAAGGTAGGGTTTGTCTGATTGCTTCTGTGCCCACAGCCCTGGGCCATGCGCCTTTTAATCTGTATCATAATTTATAAGCTGTTTCATGTTTTGCAATATTTATTCCGTGGTCCCGGTCATAGTGCTTTCTCTCAAAAGCCGTCCTCCCCAAACCCTCTGCTGGCCCATCTTTTGCTGGCGGGTCTCTCCGCTGTAGCCCAGCTTTTCCTTTTCAAATGCTTTTCCTGAGAGATCTCACTTCATTGCTTCCAATGATCCCCTTGGTCCCCTCTGACTTTGCTCCTGAGCTTCAACCTTGCATGTCCATTGCTGGAGGGCATTTCTATCTTAATGTTATACCTCAAACTCCAAATAACCAAAACTCATCAGTGCTCCCTCCAGACCTGTTCTAAGTCTTCTCTGTTCCCTATCTCCAATGGTGCCTCTTGTCTTCCCAGTTCCAAGGTAGAGCTTGGGAGTAATTTTCTGTTCCTCACGTAAGTCTTTTCTGCAGTGGCTCTTAGGATCACTCACCGCTTTCTTCCCCCTCTCCCACTGATCCTATTTAGAACTTTTGTCTCTAGCCCTCATCCCAATCGCCAACCTACCCACTGCTGCCTTTCCTCCTATCCTCCACTTACTATTTTGAAATTTTTTCCTTCACCACACTCTGTCTTACTCTGTGCAGGACCCTTGAATATCTGTGAAGAGATGACCATTTTGCATGGGGGCTTTTTGCTGGCCGAGCAGCTGTTCCACCCCAAAGCACTGGCAGAATTGGCAAAGTCTGACTGGGAGCATGTGGGGCGGCCCATCGTGGAGGCCTTGAGGGAAATCTCTGCCACAGCATGCTCCCAGGCCTCTGCCTGGAAGAGGAAAGCCCTGGTCATCATCTGGGCCAAGGTGCTCCAGCCCTACCCCGTCACCCCGTCTGACACCGAAACACGGTGGCAGGAAGATGTGTTCTTCTCAGTAGGCAACATGATCCCTACCATCAATCACACGGTCCTTTTTGAGCTGCTCAAATCCCTGGAAGCTTCTGGACTCTTTATCCAGCTCCTGATGGCCCTCCCTACCACCATCTGCCGGGCAGAACTGGAGCGCTTCTTGGAGCACATGGCTGTGGATACTTCTTCCAAGGACGTGGCCTTCTTCCTCGACGTCTGGTGGGAAATGATGAAGCACAAGGGCGATCAGCAGGACCCTCTGCTCTCCCAGTTTAGGACCATGGCCAATAAGTACTTGTCCTCTCCGGACGAGTTCTCCCATCCTCCAAAGCGGTTTAAGTCAGACCCTGACGTGTGTCCCACCATGCCTCTGTTGGCCATGCTGCTCACTGGGCTGAAGCAAATCCAAAGTAGGATCTCGGGCCCCGGGATGAAGTGCTGTGCGTTAGCCAATTTGGCGGACATGCTGACCGTGTTTGCCCTGATGGAGGACGACCCTCAGGAAGTGTCCGCCACTGTGTATCTAGACAAGCTGGCCACGGTGATCTCCGTGTGGAATTCGGACACCCAGAACCCGTATCACCAGCAGGCACTGGCAGAGAAGGTAAAGGAGGCAGAACGGGATGTCAACCTGAGCTCGCTGGCCAGGCTCCCCAGTGAAACGATTTTTGCCGGGTTCGAATTCATGCGCAGTCTCCTGCGGGAGTGGGGGGAGGAGCTGCAGGCCATGCTCAACAGCACCCAAGGGACGAATTACGACAGCTACCGGCTGTGTGACAGTCTGACTTCCTTCAGCCAGAACTTGAAACTTTACCTGGGTACCACCAGCTTATCCAAGGAGGAGAGGCAGGTGGTCTCTGAACTGGCAGAGTGCGTCGGGGATTTCCTGAGAAAAACGAACAAGGTGCTCAACAAGGGCTTGGAGAAAGACATCACTGCCTCGATTGCCATGGCCATTATTGAGCAGAGGATGGACCGGCATATGGAAATGTGCTACATTTTTGCTTCTGAGAAGAAGTGGGCCTTCTCAGACGAATGGCTAGCCTGCCTGGTTAATAACCAGTCTCTCTTCCGAGAGCCAGACTTGGTTTTAAAGCTACTGGAAACTGTGGTGGAAGTCAGCACGGCAGACGGAGCCATCCCGCAATCTCAGATCAA